GCCAGAGCAAATCAAGAGGTCACCTCGCGACGCCGCGCACACTTGGGCATGCGAAATCGGACAGTCAATTGAAGCCTAACCCCTTTCACATTCATCTTCTCATCTTTTTGAAAACCTGTCTCGTTTTTCTGCTTCTTCAAGGTCCCACAATAAGCGAGCAAACTTCTATGCTCGATCAGATGATTGAGCCGATTTTGTGGACAGCTGTGCCTGCGCGACGTCGCGTGGTCGCGTGGTGACCTCTTGTGACCAAACGCACCTTTTCATGTACCAAAGCCTAGTCAAAAGGAAACTAATGGATCACGTTTGCAGCGCCCAATTAAAATCCGTCGCCGACTGTATGAGTTCTACACAGCTCCCATCACAACATTCTGGGCGTGGACCCTGTCGTTCTGCTTGTTTCTGACTGCATTCACCTACGTTCTGCTGATACGCACTCCACCGAAACCATCGTGGTTGGAATGGTTGCTACTTGCATATGTCATTGCATTCGGGATGGAACACTTTAGAAAGGTTTGTCTTACTTGTTATTTCAATGGTGAGTTCCGCTCGAAAGCAGTTTGACCATTTCCCTGAGGAGAACTTTTTGAACAGTCAAAAATCTGGTATATCTCCTACTCTACTGTGTTTTACAGAGGGTTTTTCTTCCAATTAGAAATATTAGAATAGTGCCCCACTGATTGCCATTTTGACCAGAGCACCGCCGTTGGGGAAAGTTTTTCACGAAATACGACCCCCTCCCTCAAAATATCCTCCTCTGGTACGACCCCCTACCAACCGAAAACGTTTTTCTTCGAAGTAGATACGAAACCCCTCCTCTTCAGCGACCGTATGTGACCCTTTTCTCGTACAAGGCATCCCATGGGCCCGAGTGCAGTGAGGGCTCGATGATTTCCCTCTACCTCCTTTTTCAGGCTCCTTGTGGTCCCTTACCCAATTCTTCGATGATCAAGTCTTTAATCGCAAAGATCCTCCGCGCCTAATGTTTTATTCACCCAGTGACCAGAAATCGAGCTCCAGTCAGAGATAACCGGATGTTTCACTGATCACTCTGATTAGCGATTACTGGTTGGTTGACTAATGACTAT